TATTACTAGAAAGATGAAGCTCCATCCCTACTCAACAAAACCCCCCAAAATATGCATCTTTGCTCTCCTGCAGCGTTTCCGGACATAAAGATGGACCAACAGCAGGGGGTTTCTCACAGCATGTACAATTTGTCCGTCTAGATCAGAAAATTTTATCAAGACATCATTCACAACCTAAATCAATACATTACCACAAATTTTCAACAGCATTTCAAGATCAAAGATTTCAACTAAGAAATCGGTACCTTTTTAACTTTGACAAAAGTTCGAACGCGGGCAGACGCCTTAAATTCGGCACAAAAAAATTAAGTGAGCACATACGGTCAGAAAAAAATTTAACTGAATAGGAGTAGGATAAAAGAAAAACATATATATAATATATATGTAACATACATACATATCTATACATCACAGTATAAATCTATACTTGTTTCCACTTGTCGAATGCACATTTCCAAAACATAAAAATAACAATCACACCTAAAAGTTTAACGTTGGGTGTGTTGCCTTCTCATCACACACTGCACTATATTATTATCAAAATAAATTTGATCCCCATATTTATGAGGAAGAGTTGAGCAATAAAGTTTTCTCATAACTAATCTAATCTTTTAAGAAACCTAAAGACAAACCAACTATTTCCACAAGTAGAGTTGAGCAAATAAAGTTTTCTCATAACCAATCTAATCTTTTTAAGAAACCTAAAGACAAACCAAATATTTCCACAAGTACTCTTTCAACATTACTTAAGATCCAAATCCCAAAATCAGGAAGGCGTATGAATTTAACAACCCTGAACCAACTATTTCCAAAAGTACTCTTTTAACATTAGTTGAGATCCAAATCACAAAATCGGGAAGGCGTATATGTTTAACACCCCTGTCAACACTATGAGGACAACCAAGAGGAAGGACCGTCGAATTTAACCTCTGTCTCCAATTCAATAAGACCAGGACAAATGGGCTGAGAGCCTTGAAAACACCACAAAACAACCTTGTCAAGATCAAGAATGCCCAGTCGGAAATTTGAAACCAAGGCCATCCACTCCGTGGTTCAGCATGATACAAACTGAGCAAACGGAGCGCTCGTTTAGACCGTGTTACTAAGCTTTAGCACCCAAAATATTGGAACACAAAATTAAAGACACAATAGAATAAAATAAAAGCGAATGATATCATGTACCATAAGTGATTCTTGTGTATGTGGTAAACAAAAACATAAGCATAAATGGAATACAATCAGCCCTTTCAGAAGAAGAGAAACTCTTTTCAAAAAGTTCTTCTTTCCACTTTTGTACAAGTTCATCGCTAAAGAAGACAAAAAAAAGTCATTTAAAAAGCAGGTAGAACTTCCCTTTATTCTACTCACGGAAATGCAAGCAATAACCTAAGTTGGAATGGTAACGTACTATTTTCATTACATGATTGTGATAATTCTTAGGAAAAATTACTTATTTACTCTTCATTCTGAATCAGGTCTGTTAAAAAATCAAGCCGGCATAACACTAGCTGAGCTAAGGAAACCGCATTCATTTACTTAACTGTCAAGTGTTTTTTTGTGTTTTTTTTTCTTTTCAAAAAGTCACTTAAGGCAGGGTCATTGGCAAAAGAGGTTTAAAAAAAAAATAATTTTTTACATCCTCTTCAGCTCTCCTGGAAGCCAAAAAACTGAAAGGCTTTCTTCTAAAAATTAGTCTTAAGCATTTACACTTCCTGTACATCTTTTCTTTGGGTAGTATCAATGATAATACATAACAAGATGGGCCACTCAGCCAAAAAAGTGTCCGCAGGAAGTATGCTCTTTGCTTCAGATGGCGCTGCAGTCTGTTTTGAAGCTCTCTTTCGTTTTTCCAGAAGAAGAATAGGAATAGCACCTCCTTGCGTGCGCAGATCGACTGCTGTTCATCAGCAGTTCGGGTACGTTCAGTGCGGAGTTTTAGTTTTTATATATTTTAATGACCTCTCGCCTTTCATTCTAAAGTCAAATTAAACAAAGAAAACCATCACCCTTTCCTCCGGAAGAGGTTTTTTGTCAGCGTAACCATTTTAAAAAAGCGTTCTTCCGAAATTTATCCCAAAACTTGCTAGTTTCACTTTGATTTTTTAAAACTCAAGTAGGGTAACTCTGTTCGCAAAGAGTGCGCTTTTGTGAAGAGGGCGCCACCAAATTTGGAGGACACTTTTTTAATTGGCTCAAAGAGAGAAGTGGCCCATCTTGTTATGTACTATCATTGGTAGTATTCCTTTTCTGTTCTTTCAAAGAACTAAGGATCAATATATAATGTTATCGAACTATACATAACTGGCAACAGCTTTTCACATATGGAATATTTTACTCTAAACTGTAGTGCATGTATCTCTATGGCACACAGGGACCGAAGAAAGGCTACGACTAAAAATACAAAAAAGATCAACTGACTCAATCAGGATCATCTTGATGAAAAGATCAACTGACTCAATCAGAATCATCTTGATGAAAAGATCAACTGACTCAATCAGAATCATCTTGATGAAAAGATCAACTGACTCAATCAGAATCATCTTGATGAAAAGATCAACTGACTCAATCAGAATCATCTTGATGAAAAGATCAACCGACTCAATCAGAATCATCTTGATGAAAAGATCAACTGACTCAATCAGAATCATCTTGATGTTCAAATTCCGCCGGCAGAATTTCCCAATAGTAAAATTAGTGACTATAACGGCACCAAGGCCTGAGAAAAGTGTGCTGTCTATTTTTTACAGACCACTTACATTGTCTTATTGCATGAGATGCAAACCAGACAAGTTAGTTACAGCTTCGGTCATACAAACAATACACGATTGCACAAAGAAAGAAAAAAAAAAGGTTATATATATATTCACATTCCTTGTAATTGTAAAACAAAAATTTGCTACATTCAAGTTTGAATAAAATATGATCTGTTTACCTCAAAATTTCAATCTATTTATAAATTCAAACCCCACGCTCCCCTTTTATTTTGTCAGGACAGAATCATTTCTCTTGACGTTGGGCAGTCGGTGCTATCAGTATCAGAGGACAGCATTGTATGCATATTGCCAGCCTTGCTACTTAAATCAACAACTTCGAGCTCCCTACATCTAAAGTTGGCAGTGGTGTAATGGGGCTTGGCTATATCTCTATTGGATGCAAGGAATAAGACAGCATTGCCATTTTGACAATCATATCTCGCAGTCATAGTCTGAAGAAGTTGTGGAAATTAGAATCTAAAATATCTTCTTCACATAGTCAAACTCTGTAATCCTGAAAAACAGCTGCCATCACACAAATCGTAACCGTCTCTATACGAACAAAAGACAAAGCCCAGACGATCCCCTGCACAAGTCGCAAAGACAAAAGCTATTCCAAAAACCAAACCAGAAATGTCTAAAGTATGCCATTACATATTTTTATGTAACTAATCAAAGACGAAATGAAGTAGATACATTATCATCCGCAATCAAATAATATACAACTACTGCTTTGCTATCAATTACTGGAACATCACTGCATTTGTCAAAGGCCAGTCCTTTAATTAATTCAATCAAAAAAGGAAGAACCCCCCCCCCCGTCTCTCTTAACAACATAAGTTGGAGACTGAAGTTTTGATTTAGATAAATTCAAATGAGACAGAACTCATTAGCAATTAACATCAAACCTTCTGCTGAATGACAGGCAGTTCCAATGAAAGACCTAGCAAACCGACAGACCAATTCAGTAGCATTAAATTCACTGTCTCAAAAAAGCTATTCTGGTGTACCGTATACAGGCAAATTATCAGTAGGCCGTATATATATATGGATTTTAAATGACTAGATTTATGGACAAAACCATTACTGTAGGCACACTCTTTTGATAAAATTTCTACTATATATATATATATATATATATATGTATCCGCTCCCTAACTGTTTACTACTTAATTAAGCTAAGAGCGTATGAACCCACAGAACAAACTAAAATAACGAACACACACAACAGTGTTTCTTTGGACCGCATGATGTACAAATAAAAGATGAAAAGAGCACCCAATCACAAAAGTAATAGATCTAATAATAATTATAATAATAACAATGATAAAAATAATAATGATAATATTAATTAGAGTAATAGTATAATTTAAAAACAATAATAATAATAAGAGTAAGAGTAATAGTATTAATAAAAATAACAATACTAAATTATTTAATGATAATCATAATCATAATAATAGTTTATCCGTCAATGTCTGACAATGAAGAAAAGTAACCACATGCAATGACAGGATCAGCTGTGTTCAGAATAGCTATATATATATATATTATATATATATATAGACAAGCATTTTGCCCTTGTCTTATACCAGGCTTACATCAAAAGCTGCAACGGTAAAGACTTTTTTAAAGACCAGCCTCCCTTTTTTCCACCGCCTTTACTCCCGGCAAAAGCAGAAGGCTATCATTTTTGTCAATTACACAAGATTTTTTTTTTCCCCATTTTGTGCAAACAATTCATACTACAATGTAACTTCTCGTATTGAGAAATAAAATTGATTAAAAACAAAACAAAAACGAGTAAATAAAAGATCGGAGACGATTGAAACACGTTAAAAAGATTCAAGAGAGGGAAAATATCAAAAGGAAGGCAAACAGAGGGGGGGGGGATAAAATGCATTTTTGAAGTGCAATCACGTTGCAAACAATGTTGACCTACATCTTTGTTTCTAAACCCTGATTCTACAGCAGATTAAACATAACCCGCATAGTTCATAAATCTGAGTACAACATTCTCATATCAACAGCTAACATCACGGATACCAACCAGAATGTGGCAAAACTGTGCGTTGAAGAAGATGCTCGTTATTAATACAGGATAAAAACAAAATCATAGGAAATTCTAAGGATCCAAATGCCCTCCCCATCCCCCCAATCATTTTGAAAATTTAAAACTAAAAAAAGTGTGCAACTATTTATAAAGCGGGTGTTTGATTATATATATATAAAGCTAAGCAGACTGGGTTTTTTGGTTTTTTTTCCTTAAAATAAAAGTTTTAGTAAAAGCTTTACAGCACTTGCAACACAAATGGGTCATATAAGTGCCAAAGATTAGAGCTGTTATTAGAATTAAAAAGTAATGTACAAAGTAAAGGAGATAAGGAAGACGAATGTACGAAAGGAAACAAGGAGCAAATCACACCAGAACACCCGTCAACCACTCATTTGCAGCCTGTCAGTGGCACAAAAAAGTCATAAAAAAAGAAAAAAGGAGAAAAGCTCCCCCCCCCCCTAAAAGAAACAAAGCACTCATCACAAGCGCTTGTTTTTATCGTAAGACAATGTCTGGTAGACTGTTTTTCATTTTTCAGAGGAAAATTTTCATGTGCGAAGAGGGCCATAATACTCCTCTAATTTACTTTTCTATAAGACATTTCAGACGCATGCGGAAAGGAGGAGTTGATAGAGTTTGTGAGTGTGGGTGACTGTGCGTGTGCCCACGCATGTGTATCTGCGTGTGTGAGTGTGGTGAAATGTCAAAAACAAATTACAGTGAGCCAGTATCGGGACAATAAAGATTTATCTGACTCGAGGTTTTTTTAAATTCCATGTAAATTTTTAAAGTTTTTTTGTTTAAAAAAAAAAAATGAAAATCATTTGGCGTAAATTTCAAGCGGGGGCACAATTCTTCAAGCTTGCTTAAAAAAATAGGACAAATTTCACAAGTATTACTTTCTCCACTTAAATCACATTTCATGGAATATATCTTCAGCCCGAGGGGAACTATACCAGGCACATTTTTTAGCAAAGTCAATTTCATTCAGTAGCTTATCTTTTTTTCCTTTTCAAAATCCCGTCTCTTCCCGTTCCATTAAAAACTTGGGTTTAACCGTATCAAGTTACTGAACATGACCAATCTTTAGGAACAAACACCTGAGTTTGCAGGAGGAAAGGGGAAAATCTCTGCTTCAAGGCAGACGGAAAGACATTAGTAGCAGAAAGGTCAAGACAGCAAAAGTGAAAGGAGAAACAAAAGGAGTCTATGCCCTCTCTAGGATCAACAAAAGTCAGCATATCGCATACAAAACTGTAAGTCAGTGCTTAACCTCAGATAATAAGCATCATTGTAGAAAAAAATCCCACAAAAAACCCAGCCAGAATCATCATTTGACACTGATCGATTAAAAACTTAAAAACCCAAATAAGGCAAGCAAAGTACACATACATCCATTCTACTCTGATTTGAATTAGAAGACAACCACCAAATTACTTTTGACGAGGGAGGGGTGGGTGAGGTGACGGGGGGGGGGGGGGGGTGGGGGGAGGGAAAATGAAAGGCATTTAGTGTAATCTGCTGCAGGCAGGCTCAGCTCCAGTTACATGGTGCTGTTCCCGCCACCAAATGTCTCCTGGGAAGCGTACACGATGTACAAGAAGCCGTCCTCGTCCTTCTCTCTCTCGTACACCTCCACCACAGACGCCGTGTTGCTCACCATGCTGCGGTCGTTCACCAGGAGATAGAAGGCCTGGGTCGGTGACAGCTGCAGTCGGCGACTGAAGGAAAAAGACAAAATAATAAATTCATCATTAACCATTTTAACCACTTACGTATCTTTCAAATAATCATAACACTGATTTATGATAATAATATAATAATGATAATAATAATAGAAGTAATAATAATAATAATAGAAATAATAATAATAATAATAATAGAAATAATAATATAAATAATAATAAAAAATAACTATATTAATAATACTATCGCTACTACTACAAAGAACAATAAAAATCGCCTAATAATTGTAGTAATAACAATAATATTCCCCTTTTTTTTAAAAGAGGGAAATGTGGCTTAGAGTTCTGATCGATTTCTGACTATGACAGTAGAACTGAGGTTTGACTGTAGCTATGTACTCGAAAGAGCTGTCCGCGTCTCTTTTATGCAAGAAAAATTCTGAAATTATGCAAACTGAGCCCAAAAATGAGACATGCGATTCTGTTTATTTTACTTAAGAATGATAAAGGAAAATAATCAGAAATTATGCGAAAAAAGATACAATTTTGCTAAATTATGCGGGGTGCATAAAACCACGGGGATAGAAAAAGGTGCTAAGTGATAAACAACTCATTGAGACCACATCACATCCACAAAGCATGGGAAAAATAAATTTTGTATGAATAAAAGGACGCCATTTCTACGCCAGTTTTCTCTCTCCCACTGTGCAAAAGTGGAAATAAACAACTTATTTACAATTTTTTAGAGTCTTTGTGTCACAAGAAATTTTCAGTCCATGTGTTCCAGTGAGAGTAAAGAAAAAAAAAAGAAATCTTTTATATTATAATGCCTTCAACTTCTTCATATCATGACAGCAAACTAGAGCTTGGAGTTAGAGTGATACTTTGTGTTAATGATTACTTAGATCTAAAGCGGTTTCCAAGGTTTTATGCACCCTGCATAATTTACCAAAATTTGATCATTTTTTTGCATAATTTCTGATTATTTTCCTTTATCATTCTTTGTCAAAATTAACAGAATCGCATAATTTCACATTTTTGGGCTCAGTTTGCATAATTTCAAAATTTTTCTTACATAAAACGACGGGGACAGGTAAAGGAGCACAAATTAAAACCTCTAAGACTCTCTACATTTCTTCAAAGCTTCCAAAGAACACTTTCATTAACACCTTAGAAACATTGAACCCTGGAGTACAAATTACCTATTGGAGCTGTATAAACGATTTTTTTAGTCTTTACTTTTAGTAGGGGTTTTACGGCGCTCGCAACTGTACAAGATCATATGAGCGCCAGAAGATTAGAGGTGTTACAAGAGAGTAACAAACATAAAAAAGAAGAAGGGGAGATAAGGACGATACATATGTTTGATAGGAAAGAAGAAGAAGCAAACCACATCAGAGCACCCGCCAACCACCCACATCAATTATATGAGAGACATACCAAAGACAGAAGCAACACAACAGTCTAAAGGTTCATGCGCCTGGCACATGGTGCAACAATTACAACCATGTCAGTTAACATGTATGTGTCAGTCGGCATTTACTTGTTCACCAGTCGACTACACCTGAAATCTGGCAGGGGGAACACAAACACCAAGAAGAAGGAAGACTTACTTTTGTCTACAAAGAAAGCTTACTCACCGAATGATTTTCACAATGTCACTCATGTTGAGATTATCAGGAATCAGAAATTTGCTCTTGTCCATCATCGGGAGAGATTTTTCATTGCCATAGCGTTCTATGATCACCTGTAGAGGAACAAAGAAGACTTTTTGAAAAGTCCTATACTCCCTAGCAACAACAACAACAACACAGAAACAGCTGAAGGGCTGCACTAAAAGTTCAATGTCAAGCCAACATTCTCAACACGGAAAGAATTAACGCAACTCAGAACTGAAACAAAACTTTCACAGAATAACATGAACAAAAAAGAAAAAACAATTTCTCTTTGATTTGCAAAAAAAATACCCACTCTAGATAATTCATCAAATAAATGTCACAAAACAGACAGGCAATTAATAGTTACGCTTAAAACAAAGAACTGAACAGGTGCACACAGAAATCTTAGGAACCTGGCCACACATTTTCTCACCAAATTTTTAAATCAAAGACTGTTTTATCTTCTGCATTTATCTTGTCAACCTACACTCGAGCTAGTTTTGCATACTTGTACATTCCAGTTCTTTTTATACAATCCATTTCTCTTAGAAAGCATTACTCTAAATTTGTCTCCTTTCACCTCCTTTCCTGCTCTCTAGTAATGTTCTGTCGTCTGCTTTCGTCTCCTCTTTCTGCCCCCATTCCCTCATCTCCTTTGCCCCCCTCCTCTGGGCTCCTGATTCTTTCTACTGCCTTTAAACTGTTACTCCTTGGCTTTTTCTTACTGCTGTCTTTCAGCCACACCCCTGATCTTCTGGTAGGAAAGATCTACACCTAGCCTTCTCGGACAAGGGCGAAAAATCTCGGAGGGCCCGTGTGCAAGTTGCGCACATTAAAGATCCCTTGGTGGTCTAAAATCTATAAGAGTAGGCTTCGGCCGCCACCTGGACAAAATTCAAAATTTCCGCCTACCAACTGAAAAAGTTTAAATGTGTCCCGTGCGCTCATATGACCTAATGCAGTTGCGAGCGCCGTAAAACACTTACAAAAACAAACAAAACACTTTCTCTCACATGGAGGGAAGAAAGACGACCAGAGGAAAAAATGTTCTTAGCACAACTACTTGCCATGACCATTCCATTTCTACACACAGAGATCATGTATAATAAACAGGGGGAAAAAAGCAGAATATAGTACAACTGAAATTTCTTTTTTTCTAATTTCTGTATATATTCACAATAGACAATTAAGGCCTAAACTCTTTTGAACTTTCAGTCAGAAAATGTCACCTTTCTGTAAACAACCAAGACTGTCAGGTCACAGCAATATGTTTAACTGAAATACATTATATATAAGATTTTACAGCAGGCCTTTGGCTCCATGAAAAGAAACAAAGGAAAACTAGCCATAAAAACAGTTGAACTCACTGGAATCTTGTTTGTATGTACGCTTCTGACAGCTTCTACATCTTTTCTCCTCTCAGCTGTAAAAGAAAGAAACAATGGCATGATACCAATTCCCACAGAAACCGTCATGAGCATGATAGTCAAAACACTTCCCTTCATTCAAGGCTTTTTGTATCCAATGAAATGTGTATCCGCCTATATAATGGTATACTGACATATCTTCAACATACAGCACAGATTTCTATTCATAAAATGGACATGTACAGTATAAAAGTAGGATTACAATTTTTCTTTCTTAACAACTCCAGCAGCATGCAGTTTATATAAAGGTGCTTTTTGCAGAAGATGTGACACAAAAATGAAACACATTTTGTTTATCTGGTTTGGGATCCTTCATGCTCTGGCTTCCAGTTTTGAGATTGCTTGGTGGCTGCTTTCTGAGCCCTGTTCTCACAAAAGTCTGAGAGCAAACAAGTGTAGTTGTACGTGTGGGATACAGTGTTGCTATGATATGTGTTGCTTTGGGATGACTTTGCCGGGGGAAATAGCATCTGAATGCCGCCATGTAATTATCGATTGCTATGAGGATTTCTGGGAAGTGGAAATTGTTCGACTGGTTTGAGATGTAACATTGCAGTGTGAACATGGCTAAATCTTTCATTGAGACCATTGAATATTGCTTCCACTCCACTTGCTTCCCCAATTATTGCAGTGTCGCAGGTGTATTTTCTTGTTTCTGTACAAATTGTGTTTGTTAATTCCTTGTATACATGGGGATGGAGGTACTTGTGACAGTGATTGCCCGCGACATGATCTGCTGTGGTATGCTTGGGGTGTGATGCAATTTTTGCTTGAAATGGATCTTTGTGTGCAGCCACCAACAAGATTCAAGTGATGCCAACAAATGGAGCAGGAATTCACATTTATAATTGTCAAACGCACACCACATGTTCCTACTAGCTTCAACAGCTTTTTTTTTGCGGCTTGAATTGATGTGACGTAACACCCTATCTCCTTTTGATATTTGAAATCGCTGTAAAACACTTGACACAAATGTTAGCGGAATACGGCTGTTCATCTTCGTCCCTCACACCAATCTCATAAATCAAGAGCTCTCCTGCAATTGTCTTACATAATCGGGGCTTTCTGTACTTTTTTTTTGTTCGACAGTTAAATTTAAATGCCAACAGACCCAACTAAGTTCATTCAGAGACTGTCTATGGCTCTCAAATGTGTGATCCATTGCAGTTTAATTAACAATTTTTACTTAGGAACTCAATTCACTTTAACTGATTGCCAATCACTGAAAGTGCAGGTAAAACAAAACTCACAGCATTAGAAAATATGATTAGATGGCTATCACACAGTGTTAACAGAAATTAACACAATCGTTTCATTTTGGAATGATTTGTAATTGAATTTGAAGAGTTCACATTATCAACGGTACTTTCGATCACTTTACACTCACAATTTAAAACTGTTATTATTCCCAAACGAATCAATGAAACTGGTGAAACTTTCACAAGATATCAAGAAGACGTAGACGAAGTGAAATTGCCGAAGAAATAGATTCTAGGGGTAGAATGAGCATCATTTTACGACTCAAGAAATTATGGGAAGAAAAACGTTCTGATAAGGACAAGATAGGATACTGCTGTGCACGAGTTGATTCCGGTCAGTCCCCGACCTGACGCGTGAAACTGCAGGTCACCTGCCAGTGATTTATGGCCTAACGCAGGGGGCCCGAACAAACTAAAGGATCCCTGAGACGGAATATTAGACGCCGTGACACACACACACACACAAGCGCGCACACACACACAGCCCAAGCAGTCGGCGATGAAACCTAGTGACATAGCCCATCGAACGGTAAGCGGCAAAGTGGACCAGCCATGCTGAGATCTAGTCAACTGGTGAGGGAAGCCTTGGAAGACCACAAAAATAGATGGTGGAAATACGTCATCTTTATTTGGGCCAATAACGGGGGGTGCTAGATGCTCGCTGTAGCTCCAGGTGTAAAAAAACCCTGAGAGTTGAGAATTTAGTTGTAGAGATCAACAAATGGGAGCTCCAATATTTTGGGCTTCCCATTTTGGCCCCAAATATTTTATTTTTATGCTACTGATTACTACTGTTAAATTATAGAATTAATATTTAATCTAATAGATTAGACAGTCTGGCAGGAGTGTACTTTACCGGACTACCCGTCAGGGCCCGTGACTACTACGCGCACCTTGCCTAACTACGCACTCATAGCTCTACGTGCGGACCATGGCATTAACTGGACAATCGTGTTCGTTACATATCATATAACAACAGTGGGGGGTTTCTGGGGGGCAACAATAATTTTTTAAAACCCACATAAATGCAAAACAATAACATGAGCGGACCATGGCGCCAAGTGGACAATCGGGGTAATTAAAGTTGGAACAGGCCGAGCCTTGCTTCGCAGCACACGCCAAATCGCAAGCAGGACCGAGGGGGTTGCAATTATGGAAATGAGCGCTCGTGCGCATCTCTCATCCTCCATTGTACTTGGCCGGACCAGGGGGTGGGGGGGGGGGTAGGCCTAGCAGAGTCATGAGCAAAGAAGAACACTAGACCACATGATAAGACTGACCAATTAGCCTAGCGTCAAGGTATCAGGTCGTGGGTCAAAGGGCACTGTAGCTAGGTCACTGAAAAACCCCGTAAGAGATGTCAGTCGGTAGTTGGCAGTCGAAGGGTGAGGACATAGAAAGTGAGTAGGGGAACCCTGAAAGGAAGTATAGCGGACCACTAGGAGGCACCGGGGGCACGATAGTGAAAGTAGCTTCGACTAGCAGTTACCGGTGGTCCGGCAAAGTACAGTCTTACTGACAGTATAAGCTCGCTAATTTAATGATAATATAACCCAGGCTAGGAGGCCTCGGGCCTAATCTAGATTCTAGATTAGATCTACCCCGTCTAAATTAAAATTTTAAAAGACAAGTTCCCATCGGCCATCTCAAACTCAAGTTCAAGTTGCAAAGAACCCTGTCTTGGGGCTGAGGCGAGGCCAAAACTGTACACAACTAAGGGACTTCGGGGATGACTAATAAACTCTTGCTTCAACTGAACCTGCTGAGTCTGAGTCGCGTCAGTCGTGCACCACTGTCATTCAGTCGTTCGTTGGGCCTTCTTTTTTATTTTTTAGAGTTTGTTTAGATTTAATCATGACTAACTTAGTCATGCATAGAGCTTTCAAACTTACAAAAAGTTCTCCTTTCCTTGAACGTAAGTCTCGATGTTGAGGGTTCATCTGCTGTATTCTCAGTAAGACCCATCATCGAATTATCTGAGACTTAAAGGTAAAATTTTAACAGTAAAACCGTCTACAAAATTTGATGTTTTGATTGTTGACTGAGGCAACCGGATGTTTTGTGAAGAAATAGCTAAATTTAGGTCATTATGTCACTGAAGTTTGCCAGTTTGGCATAATTTAAGTCTACGAGGCAATTGAAAAATAAAGTTAATGAAAATGCCATTGTAAATACGTTGGGGTATATCAAGGACATTATATTTACATTTATAACCTCTTTGGGGTATACTCTAATTATTTAATAAATAAATGGAGAGAAAAACTTTCTGTAATTTTATATCGCACTTTTGCTCTGTTTTCAGAACCACCCTTGTAATCCAAGATAAAAAGAGTGTGACGGCCTGCTGCCGAATGAAAGGCTCTATGCCTAGGCCTAGTAAGACGTAAAGTGTAAAGCCAAAAGACCCAATGAGGACCTTAAAAATTAGAAAAAAGGCTTACTAGATTCATGTAACCGCCTCGATAAGGCCTAATAATTTATAGCTCTTTATCACAGGATTCTACAAGTGTAAAATTCTGTGCTCTTAATAATAATAATAATTGATGCGAATATAATTATTTCTTATTCGCACACCGGGTGCGCGAATAATATCAGATCTAATTCTTAAGCGCACACCCAGTGCGAATAATATTAATTCTTACGCGCACACCCAATGCGAATAACCACATCCTTACAGAAAATCCATCACAAGTTGACGTTGCCACACTCATATATATTATATTTATGCGTACACTGATCATTATGTTGTTTGGAAGTATAATATATTGTCGTGTTTTTTTGTTATGTTGCAGATCGACTTCAACGCGGTCATTGTGTTCTAATATTTTTATTGACTCACAAAATTGAGCTTTTTTTTGGGGGGGGTGGGGTTAAACATGTAATAATATAGATAGAGGTAAAGCTGATTAACCCTTTTCGTTTCAAATGTGTGTAATGTAAGGAGAAAAAATAAATTGAGATATATAGGCCTGTCGCACGACATCGGCATAGTGGGTGGCCTTCTTTCGGGAGGAAGAATTAAAGCAACCCTGCAATATGAAGAGCGTCGGTGGCCTAATGGTAAGGCTCTCGGACTCGCAACCGTAAGGTCGTGGGTTCGAATCCCATCAGGGCCCCGACGTTGTGTCATTGGGAAAGGCACTTTACACGAATTTTCCTCTCTTCACCCAGGTACGTGGGAATGACCCGGCCATTGACAGCGAAAGATCTTGTCAGTTTGTAGTGTTTTAGCGCCTATAAATGGCTGCTTGCACTGTATGCTTCCCAGGAAGTTGAGGTTGTTTCAAAATGCTCTGAGGTCTGCTGGAGTAATAGTATAGATTGTGAAGCGCATATAGAGCCTACTGTTGAGCGGGGATTTGCGCTATACAAATGCTATAGTTACATTTTAGCCATACATGAGGCTGTACTATGGGTAGGGAAGAGTTGGCGAGAAAAGAAAGAGAGCATGCAATAGCATATAGATCTATAGGCCTATAGGCAATGATGAGGAAAGGCTACAAACTGTAGAAATAGAAAACAGATTTCGTTTTGTGTAGGCTATAGAGGCATATAGATAAAAACAGGAATACAATGCGACAGATCGAACCCACCAGAGGCCTATATAATAAATATTATATAACATGAACAGGTTATGCATCTTTCATGGATTAATAGCACTGAAATTACTGAAACTGGCTCTTACAAGTGGGTGAAGTCTTTCTTAGACTGCTTTGCTGTATGCATTGTCTCTAGCTGATTTTTATGTCCATACTTCTCTGTCAGGCACATAAATTTGGGACATTACAAACTTCAAGGGTGGTCCTGACAGGGTCAAGCTAGCACTTCCTTACTTAATTAAGTAAGCTTTGTAATTTCGTTGTCTCTTTAATTATGTTACATGTATTCCGTAGTAGATCTATTACAGCAGGACATGTCTTCTTAGATGTCAAGGTTTTGTTTTTTCCGCTTTTAATTTCTTCTTAAAAACTCTCACATCACATTGCAGACACTTGATCTTTTGTCATGGACAGGACCTGTATCCTTTGGAACTGGCCTGGAGGGAACAATAATTATTTATTTTGGAGGGTTTGGAACAGTAAACAGCATGGGCACAGCATTCAGCACTAGAATTGTTCAATATATGCAAATTTCCAAAGGCAGTACGTACAGTTCAAATTGCTCAGCCCACAATTGTGACAATGCATTTCCATGGTACACGTATAGGTGACTTGCTATCTTGAGAACCAAAGTCAGCCTTCCGATAACTCATTACCCATTTTTTTTTTTACATCAGAAATATATTATAATTTTTTGGTAGGAGTGCGAAAAACTTAGATTGTAACACTACAGAGTTTTACAGGTAGGCCTGTACTATAGACCGGTGCTCACAATAAATTATAATACACTGTGGTGGCCCATATTCTCACGTGTGCATTTAAATGTTGCAAAATTCATAGATCTATATAGAATATAGATCTAGATCTAGGTCTACTCCTTTAGTTTCATTTCATAAAAGAGAAAAGTGCTTGATTGATTAACAGTTTTGAGTGAGTACATCTACTGGAGATTTTGAAATTAAAATCTTTTTTGGATAGAGTTAAATGACATTCATTCCACATATAAAAAAAAAAAAAAAAAAAATTTATTTTATTTTTAGTAGAGGTTTTACGGCGCTCGCAACTGATAAATAAATAAACAAATAAATAAATTAAATAATTAAATTACAATTTTAAAAAAGATAATGTGCTTCGTTCTTACAATATTCATTATGATTATGATTTATAAGTTGTACACTGAGACAAAACTGTACTAAATGAGAAAGGTGCACCATTATATGAAAGTGGAATGAACTCAGTTGCCTGAAAAGGGTAGTTTGAGCATGTGTGGCCTAAATAAGCTAAAACCCCCTCCCTTACCTTATTTAGGCCATATGTGGCCTAAATAAGCACTCCCTTTCATTATTTTGACCAGCGCCTGATTTCACCATGACACCTCACAATAAATAAATTGAATAAATGTTCTATCTGTTTGATCAAAATTGTAATTATAAGGTTATTATGAGTCATTGTCAAGATCAGATATATAAAGAATCTTATTTGAAAAATTTTGACATACCGGGTACTGTGAAACTTAGAATTTTTTACATCAAATTTTCCCAAAACTAGGTAGGCCTACTGTGCAGAGTAGAACTTTGTAATTCTGAGGTAGTGATTTGATAAACCACATGTCACATGTCACCAATACATTACAAAATATAAGTATACACAGAACAAGTCCGAGACGGTACGTTTGCTTATATGGCACATGTTTATTCCACATGTCAAAAAGTCTTCATTACAATGTTCTTCCCAGACATATGGTTGCGCAATATGGGTAACATGTTATAATGCATTCATCATGTAGCAATACATGTAATATTATTATTACAAGTAAGACCTTGGTTAGGAAAAGTAAAGAAGCAGAGCTAGCGACAAGTTCTAGAAACATTTCCAACCATCTTGATTATGTTTACTGTCCATGACATGGCATGTATGGGATGAGATGATGATCATTTTTGTACTCTGTGTTGGGTGAAATGTACAAAGTGATGGTACTGGGAGGCAAAAAGTTTGGAACACACAATCGGGTTCATAGATCTCATGACACTCAGATAGACAGACCACAAGTTGACAGTCGGAGCCCCTCAAAAGTCGACTGTTCTGAATACATTATTTTGTACGTGAAAGTGAGAAGGGGGAAAAAATTGTCTAGATAGGAGGAAAAGTTTTATTGTTTTAGTAATTAGTAAGAGTTTTACGGCACTTCCAACACAATAATAAGGTCATATAAGTGCCGAAGATTAGAGGTGTAACAAGAGAGTAACAAACAAGAAAAAGGAGGAGGGGAGATAAAGACGATAGATCATGTTTGACAGGAAAGAAGAAACAAACCACACCAGACCACCCGCTAACCACCCACAAAGTGATAGTAGTGTGAGTGAGGCAAAAAGTTTGGAACAAACTCAACTGTGAACATAGTTATATTAGTTTAGTTTTAGCAGAGGTTTTACAGCGATCGCAACTGCACAAGGTCATATGAGCGCCCAGAAGATTAGAGGTGTTACAAGAGAGTAACAAACATAAAAAAGAACAAGAGGAGATAAGGATGATAGATGTTTAATAGAAGGAAAGAAGGAGCAAACCACACCAGAGCACCCGCCAACCACCCACACTGTGAACATACAACAATCAGGTTCATAAGAAGGTGTGTCACAATGGCAATGACACACAGATAGACAGACTAGACCACATGTTGACAGTCGGAGCCCTCAAAAGTCGACAGTTCTGAATACGTGACAAAAGTGAGAAGAGGAAAAACATTGTCTGGATAGGAGGAAAAGGAAGCGAAAGGGTACCGGTAGTGTAAAGGAGAGGAAAGTGACTCTGGACTCAGTACCACATCTAGTAGAGTCTCCTCCACAGCACACAATCAAATCAAGAGAATCTTCCAATGTGACACCGTACGTACATATTAACATTGGACAAGCAGTCAGCGAAAAGGGGAAAAAAATCTTTCTCTCTGGATCTGACGTGACTTCTGCGATACAATACAAGAGTAGCTGCTGAAAAGAAATTTAAAAAAAAAACCATGACAAAAAGCACATCCAAAAAAAACCAACTCAATTGAACACACACCTTTACCCCCATGCCTCCAATTTAAAAGTTTGTTAGTGTTTGAGAGTTTCATCAGCTGCTTGCACTGTATGCTTCCTGGGAAGCTGAGAATGTTTCTGAGTGTTCTGTGGTCTGCTGGGGTGATGATACATGTATAGTGTAAAACGCACAGCTTGCTGTAGAGCGGGGATATTCCCTATACACATGCTACTTATTTTTATACATGTGTTATTTTGATAATTATGAAAAGAACCAACCCTCTCCACCCACCCCTCACAAAAACAAAAACTTCCAGAATACCAATCCCAGCCGGAAATGATGTGAATAAGTCAAAAGTTAGCCCAACACACCTGTGCCTTCCTCAGTCGCTGGAGCATGAAGACAAAACAAAACATTCACAGAGTCAGAGACAAGAGGAAAACATTTCCGCAGGCTACAGGTAGAAGTCATAAGAACCTACTATAAAAAGAAAAAGAAAAAAAATGGGAGAATAAATGTGTCACGACATGGTGGAATGAGGCACTCCTCGCCAATTTTTGGGCATATTTATGATTGAGTTATTGGTCTAATCTTAACAACACCTTCATTTTTCTTGCTTTCTATGACCCCCCCCCCCCCCCCCCCCTCCCAATTTATCTTGAATGAAAGTTGAGGTATTTGCAATTGAAGTTGGAGGTGGTGGGCTAGTTCGCCTGGTGTCATGTAAAATTAGAGAGAAAACTGCCGCCAAAGTTTGGTAACTTTCAAAGTGTTAAACTGCAAAT